CCTTAAATTAAGAGGCGGGATTGTCGGTTTTTGCGTGTGAACTGAGAAAGCCATTCAGTGCCAGAGTATGCCCCATCGTTAGGCTCACTTTCTGCTTTTATACCGTCCTAACGGCCAACTGAGGGTATGTTTTGAAGATTACCATTTGATGTTTTCTGTGGTTTGCTGCATTTCATGGTTCACAGAGCCTAAGTGTTTGTACAGCCTCATACGGCTGAATATTGGCCTAAAGAAAGCATTGATGCACACGTTCCTGTTGAAAATAGCAGTCAAGATGGTCAGGATGCGTTTGGTTTTGAGCCATCTTAGCGAGCAGTCCTTTGAGGACTCTTGCCGCCCCCCTCCCATCATTCTCAATACAGCTAAGCCTGAAGTTTGCCGAGAATGAGTCCTCGCAAGTGGGGATCATTGATGCTTATCAGCCTGGATGAGGCTGAATGTCACTTGTCTTTGTACGAGGACAGATCGTAAACTAACGCATTCATCAACTACCAATCATGTAGACCGATTCGCTCAGACTTGCCATTCTTTAGCCAAATATGTCGGAATAGCGCATAGTCGGACGGTATGAAGGGCGAGAAAGTGACTGGCTTCAAATATCTCATGTGAGTAGAAAAATCAGGTTTCCCTTCAACAAATTATTTTGAGAAAAAAACACACAATGTGAAGATGCACTTGAGCTCACCTCACCAACTAGTTAGCAATTGATAATTCATCTTCACAGACGGAGAGAAACAGAGAGAAAAGGAACAAATATTTTACTTTCGTTCCTACTTTCCCCATCTCCATGTAACCCCATATCCCTCGAACACAAACTCAAACAGTTTTCCTTTCCGGGAAAACGAAGTCTCCAAGTGAGTTGATGCAAGTCCCAAAATGCCTTTTAATGCTTTGGGATGTGACTTAGAATTCACTCAACCATGACCACATCATCGTTGACCATCGAAGGGACGCAGAGCGCAGAAGTTGCCTAGATTGCGACATTGTCTTTAAGTGCAGATTAAATGAAGATGGCCGGCTGATAATTACTGCTGAGACGGACACGAGGAAACTCGGATCTCGTTTTTTTGTAGCATTTTAAAAATAGATGGAGAGGAGAGTAGGCCGGAAAAGGAAAAAATGAAGAGGACCTAGGGGGTGTCTGAGGGGTACCCCAGACTCGTGCCTTCTGGCTCTGGTGCCGTTGATGGGCTTGGACGTGCTCAGTCACGTACCGGACCCGGACTCCTTATCAAGATGACCGGGCACATCTGTTGGGGGCATGCCACACTGATATAGATGAAGTTTCGTCCCAAAAGCGGCTGCTGGCTGTATGTCAGACGATCTGTCAACAGCTTTTTGACATGTTGACAGCTTCGTCCATCTTGTCTATTTGCCAGATCTTTCGCTTGCGTCCGTCTTCTCTGTCCACTCGCCAGGGTCCCCGACTTTTAGCTTCTGATCTTCAGCTTTTCCGCTTCTCTGTTTGCTTGTCTGTCAGTCGGCTTGAGAACTCGAAGCAGGGAGTGCTGACTTGCCATGGTATCGAAGACTTAACCGAGTGGTGCTTCACTGCCCCAAGGACTGTCCCGCTCGGACCCGATACCGTTTTCACAGGCTGGCTACTCACACTTGGAATGAAGCCATGAGACTGGCCCCGAGCCTAGCGAGTCGCTGATGCGACATATTACTTCAAGATGAACCAGATGAACGGCCAGCAGCAAACGAAGCCGCAATATAGGACGCCAACAACTGTGATGGAAATGAAAGGTGAAGTGTGGTAACCGCCCCCTTAACAATGTTGCTGGCAGTAGCACGAGCAGAAAAATTAGCGCTGTGAGAAAGTACCGCAATATATACGAAGAATGATTGGATTTCGATAATTCTCTTAATCAAACATTGATGTATAAGACACTTTTATTTCGTATGGATGGGCCCGATGGTGTGCTTCATAGATCAATCTCATTGGAAGACCGCCAGCTTTCAAGTTGATGCAGTCTACGTCCGTCATAGGAAAAAGCTGTACACTTTCTTACAAGAGCTTCAAGTTAACACAACGACAAGAAGACTTTTCTGCTATATTTTACATGCGGTATATGCTTATAACTAAAAATAGACTATGTATAGTTTTGGTTTTACCTCATTTTCGCGACTTGTTTTCCGCGACCTTGTGGAATGTACTTAATTATGTGCCCTCTGCTCCCGAGTATTCTTGATTATTTCCAACATCGGACGTTTCGCTGGCGCCGCCAGTATGAGGTGCCATCTTTGGCACCTAATTTAACTCATCCTAGTGACATGTGCATGTAATCTCCTCGTCAATATGGTGAATTGTAAATCGGTGCTAAAAATGGCCCCTCTAGCGGACGATGCCGACGAAATGTCCGGGAATGTGCTAAGTCAACGATCCCATGCTGGAAATTGTCATGACTACTATGAATGGTGCCGAAACCTGGGTTCATTCCAAAAGATTTCTCTGTTGCTTTGACCAAATTACGAGAATTTGAGATGTATTCACCCTATTTCGTGTAAGGTGATGAAGGACTGGTCGTAGAATTTTCCCACAATGATATG